TCCTCTGATGCTGCCTGGCCTGCTAGGTTCATCCAGCTCTATACCTTGTTATCTCAGATTCTCCAGCATCGGCAGTTCCTACTATCTCCCAATTTGACCACAGAATTTTTTTCTGCTGGAACTATTTATTTGATTTTATGGCAGTTGCCACAAATTATTGTTGCACCTTTTGTTATTTCTTGTCTATCACACTAAGTTTTTCACTTTCAGATTTAATAAATTCACTTTTTGGGTCATTTAGACTGAAACAGAGTTTAGTTTTTCTGAAGAAGGGGCTAGGCCCGAAACGTCAGCTTTCCTGCTCCTATGATGCTGCTTGGCCTGCTGTGTTCATCCAGCTGTACACCTTGTTATCTTAGTTTTCGTGTGATGGATGATATGTATTCTGTAACTTTTCCATTGAGATGACTATTTTAAGTGTTTTAACTTGAATAAACGCTGTAAGATGTAAGACATGTGGGTATTGGAACCTTGAAGGCTGTTAGCTGCTACGGCAGAGAGGTCTGCTGACCCAACCGACTAACTAGTACCATGGTGGACTTCCTTAATTGGGAATAGATGGGGGGAAGGAGCAGATGTACCTGCAACATGGGAAATGGCAATGCTTGTTGCATCCATCACACTATCGCCATCTCCATGAAGCCAGGCATATCACCTTTTTGATCTGCAGCAAGGTAGACTGAAGATGGATGGGTCCATTAAGGTCGCTGTCCTTGTGACTCCAGGGTGCACTGGTGTCTCATGGTGCTGAAGCCTGGAGTCTTCATGGAGACCATTTAAGTTTCGATTAAAGCTGCAATCTGACTCAAGAGGGAATGGTTTATCCTGCCCCTCATTTTCTCTACCAAAACATCCAGAGAAGCCTGAGAAAGTTATAGGCAGCCTTTCTGCTCGTTCTTACTGTAAGAAGCAACATGTAACCGTTTGGAACATTGTAAAAGCAGTTTCAGCACAAGAATTTACTGCAGGGAATGCAGCTCTACTTTAAAAAGATTTTCATTCATCATTCAAGCACAATAGTCAAATGTTTAGAGATTGTGTAAGACAGTGTTTGGTTCCCTATTTCTGCAGGTTGTCTTTTAGGGCAACCTGGTCCTGCTAATCTAATGAGGCCTGGTTTTCAAATGGTCTTGTTTTTAGCTGTCCACAGGGTGCCTGCCTGACCCACAACCCATCACCCCAAATTATAATCAGGTCTTTGGGGAGTCTGAGCAATTAAAACACAGATTATGATTAGGAAAGGAGTTCATGGGAGCATAATTTTTTTTATACACTTGTAAGATGTTAGTGTCCAGATTCTTGGGTGTTGTTGGAGCTGCACCTATCCAGGCAAGTGGGGAGTATTCCACCACTCTCCTGACTTGTGCCTTGTAGATGGTGGAAGGGGTTTGGGAGTTAGGAGGTGAGTTACTCGCCACAGTATTCCTAACCTCTGACCTGCTCTTGTAGCCACTGTGTTTATGTGGCATGTCCAGCCAAGTTTCTGGTCAATGTTAACTCCCAAAATGTTGATAGTGGAGGATTCAGTGGTGGTAACACTGTTGAATATCATGGGGTAGTGGTTATGATCATTGCCTGGTACTTGTGTGGGGTGAATGTCACTTACCACTTGTCAGCCCAAGCCTGGATGTTGTCCAGATTGTTTTGCATATGATCGTGGACTGCTTCAGTATCTGAGGAGTCACAAATGGTGCTGAACATTGTGCAATCATCGGCGAACATCCCCAGTTCAGACCTTACAATAGAGGGAAGGTCATTGATGAAGCAGCTAAAGATGGTTGCGCCTGTACAGTATAATTTGCGCAGAATCAAATATAGAACAAAGTAAGCACATTCTGAGTGTCCACACTATAGATTACCTGAAAAAGAGGGCTTGATGTATGCAGAATGAATCTTTATTTACCTTTGTTGTTTTTAGGAGTTTGAAAATGCTGGAAGGAAATACTTGGACGTGGAGGCTTTCAAGAAAATAATGAAAAAGTGCCTGGGATTCCATGGAGTAGTAAGTGTTGAAAATTGGAGATCTGGGGTGGCAAGATATATGGATGATCTGCATGATCATGCTGTGATATTTGTAACATTAATATGGATATGATGTGGGTTATATAATACTGAAGAACTCAATGAACCATTGTTACATATGTACATTGCAATCATTGGACTTGCATTACTGCTAACAATTTGGATGTACTGCAAAAAGCCTGCCTCAACATGTCATGCTTCAAGAAAACAGAGCACAGTAAGATGGAGACTGACAGCTCCATCGTTAGGTGACATGCTATGATCCAGTGATGACATCATGAGCATGCCCCTTTAAAGTTATGTCACATACCTGCTGCAAGCCATAACACAACAGTTGACAAGACATGCATAATTCTAAAGGTTATTATTTTACTTCCTGATAAAGAGATGACAAAATTTCTGCTTGGGACAAATTCCAGTAATAGGAGAGGCACAGGAAATTCAGAAGTAAGGCCAAAACATAAAAATATAAGAACATTTGACTTATTAACGGGAATAGACCATTCAGGCCCTTCAGCCTGCTCCATCACTCAATAAAATTGTGGCTGATCTGATGCTCCACATTCTTGCCTATCCACAATAAACTTTCAACCTTTTACTTATCAAGAACCTATCTATCTTTGCCTTGAAAATAATGAATAACTTTTCTTCTACTACCTTTGAGGATGAGAATTCCAAAAATCTCAACCCTTATGGAGGGGAAAAAACGCACCTTCTTATTGCAGTCTTAAATTGGTGATCCCTAGTTTGATATTAAAATAAAAATAAAGTGCTGGAGAAACTCAACAAGTCTGGCAGCATCTGTGAACAGAGAAACATGAGGTTAATGTTTCAAGTCTGATATGATATCTTCAGAACTGAAAGGCTTTGAAAGGTGTATGCTGGAGACAGAGAGAGAGGAGAGGCAAGTGGAACTGATTGTAGGGCTGCTCAGAGCCAAAGACAAAGCAGTTGTTAATGGTGGCGAAGGGAAAATAGAGATGTAGAAAAGGTTCTAAAGGAAGATGTGAAAAGGAGAAAATTAATCCATTCTGCTAAGAGCAAAGTCACTAAGACATTGTGTGTGTGTTTGTTTGTGGTGGAGGTGAGAGGGAGGGCTAATAAAGAAGGGTCAGAGGATGTACGAAAATGGAGGATTCCAAGGTCATGCTCTGAATTTGTGGAATTCAGTATTGAGTCCTAGGAGATGTAAAGTGCCTGAGCAGAATCCAAGGCGATGTTTCTCCAGCTTGTGTTGTTGTAACAAAGTAATAGGCTCAGGACAGAAATAGTTGCCCGAGAGCAAGATGGTTTATTGAAATGATGAGCAAATGGATGGTTGGGGTCATTTCTGTGCACAAAGCAGACATGTTCCACATAATAGTGACCCAGTCTGCATTTGATCTCGCCAATGTATAAGACTCGACATTATGAGCAGCGAATACAGTACACTAGATTGAAAGAAGTACAAAGAACAAAGAACAAAGAAAATTACAGCACAGGAACAGGCCCTTCGGCCCTCCAAGCCTGCACCGATCCAGATCCTCTATCTAAACCTGTCACCTATTTTCCAAGGATCTGTATCCCTCTGCTCCCTGCCCATTCATGTATCTATCTAGCTACATCTTAAATGACGCTATCGTGCCTGCCTCCACCACTTCCGCTGGCAACGCGTTCCAGGCACCCACCAACCTCTGCGCAAAGAACTTTCCATGCATATCTCCCTTAAACTTTTCCCCTCTCACCTTGAAATCGTGACCCCTAGTAATTGAGTCCCCCACTCTGGGAAAAAGCTTCTTGCTATCCACTCTGTCTATACCTCATGATTTTGTAGACCTCAATTGGGTACCCCCTCAACCTCCGTCTTTCTAATGTAAATAATCCTAATCTACTCAACCTCTCTTCATAGCTAGCGCCCTCCATACCAGGCAACATCCCGGTGAACCTCCTCTGCACCCTCTCCAAAGCATCCACATCCTTTTGGTAATGTGGCGACCAGAACTGTACGCAGTATTCCAAATGTGGTCGAACCAAAGTCCTATACAACTGTAACATGAAAGTAGAAGTGAAATGCTGCCCACTTCTAGATTCTCCCACAAGAGGCAAAATCCTTTCTACGTACACCTGCTCAAGCACTCTGAGGCTCTTTTAGAGCAACGTTCTGAGTTTGCCTTTGATATGCAATTAGTATTAAACAATTTTAAAGATTATGTAGCATTAGCTTGTTAAGAACTTGGTTAAGCACAAGTTAAGGCCCTCTTGTGGCACAGTGGTAGTGACCCTATCCCTGAACCAGGAGCCTGATTTCAAGTCCCACCTGCTCCAAAAGTGTGTAATAACATCTCTGAACAGGTTGATTGGAAAGATAGGTTGATTGGAAAGATAGGTTAAATTAAAAGAAAGTTAAGACACAATTTGATACGGTAAGGGTTGCACTAATTTATTAGGATTTCTGCTACGACAAAAGATTAGTCGCAAATGGTTGGAAATGATTGCACAACTATGAAGTTGTGTGCAACATTGCATGGGCAGTTTATTGGTATACTTTTAAACACAACTTCTTTAGTGGGAGGACCGTAGTTCTCAGACTGAAAAATTGCAATTTCAAGAAAATCAAAGGAGTAACTTCAAGCTTCTTAAAGTGACAATATAGTGAGTTGACAATTCTTACAACATTTGGAAAATTGCAAAAGGTATTTAAATCTCAAGTGTAGGCCAAGAAAATCATAATAATGTAAACATTAACCTATACAGACTTCAGATGCTATATCCATTAATACATTAATTAGTTCTATTTGTTTAACTATTCAATCCTTTACAAACATAAAGCGTGTTATTAATGGTTGTTGCCCCTTAAAAATGTAACAGTGATTGTCAAAGGCAAACAATAAAAATGAACAAACCCGATAGTGGTTGTAAGCGAACTGCCTGAACTGCTGTCGTCTAAATGTCTGAAACACAATGGCAGTAATTTAATAAAGAATTGGTTAAATGTCAGTTTAGAGAGTATCATGTAAGGAATTTCCCTGTTATTGAGTTAGTGGATTATCTCACACAATCCTCAGCTGCTCACCTCATTATTGTAGGCACCATGCCCCTACAGCACCACACTCGCACTACTATGTGCTCACCAGTGACAGTAATACTCATTGCTGTCAGCACCTTCGAGGATTCATGCTACCGATGCCATATTTGATGCCCAACTGTATACCACGTCAATCATTGCCAGACATGTATAGTCCTTCACAGTATATGTAGTAGGAGGGAAACAACAAAGAAATGGTCCTGAGGGCACATTGGTGTCATGGGTGACACTTCATTGAGAATATAAACTCACATTCGTAAATGTACTTCCTCTTTATGACATTGTCTGTCTGATTAGTGGTTATTGTAACCGCAGTTAGAAGAACGAGGCTGTACAGGTGATCTGCCCTTAGTACTGTCCCATGTTGCAGAGAGTCCACTTTTATCTAATGTCCAGCATTGCATAACATGTTTTTATTGTGAGAGCATCACATGTTGGCAAACGTTCAGACAATTGTTAACATTTCTTGAACAAGAGGACAAATGAAGAAACAAGAAACAAAGTTGCATTTGCTTCTGGGAATAAATAGAGGCTACCTACCTTTCAAACAAGAACAAATCTGCAGTCAATGTATAATGTCTTCGCAAATCCTTATCAATTAGAAATAGATGGTAACTGAGTTCTGTCTGGCTTGTTTGACAATGATACAGACAATAGGTCAGCAGCACACCAATTACATTAAATTGAAACTCGTGAGTTAAAACTATAATGGCTTCATGCTAGTGATATCCAAGGAACATTTCACTTTCCCTGGTTGCCAGTAGCCCAATTCTTGTGTTCAGTTAACATCTGAACTATTGAATATTTATAAAAACAAAATAAGATCATATGGTGAAAGTAAAACAGAGCAATTAGTGGTTGCTGTCTTTTAGCCCATATTGTGTCCATATCTATAACACAGCAGTACCTAGACAATGGAAAATGTCTGTATTTTCTGTGCCAATTGTACACAACTTTTCTGATCACCTCATTACAATAATCATTCATAGATACAGCTATAGCTTTGGATTTGTGCAGTGCCTGTATAAGAGGAATTTAGCTGTAATTTAAATGAACACTTATAGTGTGATCATCCCAGCTGATCATACTGGAAGAGTCCAATCCCAACGTGGCTCGATAGATCACGAGTTTAACTTTTGTAGTTGTTTACCATGGTGTTTAGTTGCTGAACATATTCATGAGGCTATCTGTGTTCTATAACAAAAGCACACAAGTTTATCACACAAAGTAAAATGAAACTATACATACGTATTGCAGTTTCGAAAGATCTTAACATAAACAGCAAAACAAATTTCAGTTTTTTTCACAGTAATGTCATTTACAGGTAATCAGTACCAGTGAAGGGCCACTCTAATCTTGACTATTCAATTTCTTACTGAACTGATACTTGCAATTTTATGGCCTAGAGATGACTTTCCAGTTCTGAATTCTTGAATTCCTTGGATGACTCAGAGAAACTCTTTTCAGCTCCAATGGACTATGCCTCCTTTCAATTCTGACAGTTTGAAAATGTCTACAGAAACTCTCTCAGAGCTTGGGACTCTGAAACATCTTTAAGACTTCACAAAATAACTGCTCTTCCATTTGGCTGAAACTGTTCTTCTGGTCTGAACCTGATCCTCAGCTAAAAACCTTTTTAGGTTCCTGGTCTGTTTTCCACATATATAATAAAATTTCAACTTTTGTAAACAGTTAATCAATGAACTTAACAGCTATCCAGTTAGCACTTAAATTACATGCCTTCTTAGAAATGATCTCTTTGGTCCACTATTCCTTTCAGAATCTTTTTTAAAGAAAATGTTGCCTTCATGAAATTGAAATCAATCTTCAGATTTACCTCAACTTCAAAATCCAAATTCAGCTCAGTTAGTCTATGTTGGTAATTATAGTGTAATGGAATCTCCTCTCATATCATCTCCTCATCTTAAATGTTTACACATCTTTCTATTCACTTTGCTGTCATGTACTTACATAGTTTCCTTTTAATAAGTATCTAAAGTATTAGCCTGAACCATTTGCCTTAGTAGTGAGTTCTTCATTTTAACGGTGGAGAGAAAGACTCATTTCCATATTCGATTTATTGGCAATATGTTGTATTTGTAGGTCATAGTAATGGACTCTCCCACAAGTGGAAACATACTTTCCACATTTACCCCTTTCCAAATCTTCTCGTTTCAAAAGAAGAGAAAATACAGCCATGTTCAATATTTCCTAAAATTAGCTGTGAAAGGTTTTAGGTAAATGCACTTTTTAAAATTGCAGTATGGTGACTGAAATAGGATAAGGGTATGGGCATGAATGGGTTTTGGTGAGGATTCACAGTATTACCATCCCAATTCCTCCATCCTGGTTGCTCACTAGCCTTGCTGGGGTATGCTAACCTTCTGGGCCTCAATGGGACATGTCTTCATTTAGGCTTTGTGGCTTCTCTTCCTCTTGGGAGGGCGTTGGAAATTGCGGTGCCCTTTAAACTTGTGTTCACTCAGTATTCCATATTTGGTGTTTCCTATGTGGTATGCAACCTCATTTAAGTGTGTCACATTTGTAAATAGACTTTTGGCAGCATAAAAAAAGACATATGTGATCACACTACCTATTTTCAGTGTGCTTTCACAAATAAGAAATATTTGTTCTCCCATAGGATGGTAAACTAACCCTTTGATAAAGGCAGGCAAGGGGACAATAGTCATCCAATCTCATGAACAGTCCCATTGCCAAGGGCTGGAACTATATGGAGAATTGATTGACCCAGTATAAGCTAACAGCCCCTAGAAATATGATACAACAGTAAAGTGGTCGAGGTCAGAGGGGAGTTCTCATCAGGCAGTCCTCAGGGATTTTTTTTTCCCTCAGATAGAAGGTGAACCAGAAAAAGAGTAATACCCAAAGGAGAGTTTTCCAACACCTCAGCAAGAGAGCAGGATGCTGCTTCCGTAAATTTAACAAGACCAAACATTCCACAACAACAGCCTCTTTGTTCTCTGATAGCAGAGAACTATCCCCAGTTGTCATGGTTGTATATTTTCTTTATCTAATTAACTAATGTGTCATATCCAAACTGCTGCTTAACAAACTCAATAAACTATCAGAAAATTGCTGCAAATCATTGACTGCCTGTATTAGGTAACTGTAATCGCAAACTCCCCCCAAATCGCCAATGGCTGGCCGCTCCAGGAATATCCACTACTCCCTCCTGATGGCACTGTTGGGACAAGAGAGCTTCCCACCATTTCATTAGCTTCTCCAATGAGGGCAGAAGATCTGCTTCAAGCCAGTTAAAGGCTCAACGATCAGTAAATGGCTGTATGGCAATCTAGTAACTTTCAGGCAGACCTAACCCTGACTTTTGCCAAGGGTTATGGGGGTCTCACACAAAATTCAGCCAATACTGGCTGAGAGGTGCAGGTGTTACTAACTGATCCAGGGTTGACACGAGGCTTATACTGACATTGGAGAGTGAGTAAAGGAGAGCAGCAAGTCTGATTAAAATGGAGAGGACAAATATTGAAAGAAAGGTCACTGAAACCTAAGGTCTGCAGTCTGAAAATAAGCCAGTTAAGAAAGTAAGTTGATCGTAGTTATTTATTAACTAAAATATGAATATTTGGAGTAATCTACCAGAAAGGTTGGTGGAGATAAAGTGCTGGTAATGTTCAGAATGCAGCTGAATGGATCATTAGACCTGGCCTTCAGTCAACTAAAAAAGTTTTTCTTGTTCTTGGTGTTCCTTATACCTTATTATATTTTTCACACAGATGGAGTCAGTGCTGTTATGGTTTGTAGTTTAACTCATTCTGTTCTTTTCTTCATTCTAGCATGATCAAATCGGAGAACTCTTCAGAAAGATTGATTATTCTGCAAGTGGTCAGATTGATTGGGTGGGTATAATGCTGTGGCTGCTTACTTCTTCACATACTCACTGCTGTTTTGAAATATTGAGACAGATCCTGTACTGTGAAAAACTCAGTACTTCAGCCCCTCAGGGAATGAAGGCTTCACTAGATCAAACTAGATTAACGTAACAATCTTAAAGCTGTTTCCTGAATAACCATTTTAAAAGTCGAATGTAGGAAGAATAACAGTTAACTTGAATATGCTATTTCTCATCTGATGTAATTTTGAATGAGGGATAAATATTGACTTCAGGAACAAAAACAGAAGTTGTTGGAAAAGCTCAGCACGTCTGGCAGCATCTGTGCAGAAAAAATCAGAGTTAACGTTTCAGGTCCAGTGACCCTTCCTCAGAGGAACTGGACCCAAAACGTTAACTCTGATTTTTCTTCACAGATGCTGCCAGACCTGCTGAGCTTTTCCAGCAATTTCTGTTTATGTTCCCGATTTACAGCATCCACAGTTCTTTTGGTTTTTATAAATATTGACTTGCAAGTTTCCCTTCAAGCCACACATCATCCTGACTTGATGTAGGGGAAGTTGGGGGAGAAGGTTGTGGTGTAATGTACTCACTGGCTGGAGTCGTACTTGACACAAAGACAGATGGCTGCGCTTGTAATAGGTCAGTCACCTGGACGTCACTACAGGAGTTGCTAAGGTTTGTGTCCTGAGCCCAACCACCTTCAGCTGTTTCATCAATGACCTTCCCTCCATCATAAAGTCAGAAGTGAGGATGTTCGCTACTGATTGCGCAATGTGCAGCATCATCTATCACGCCTCTGATACTGAAGCAGTCCATGGCTAACAACAGCAAGACCTGGATAATACCCAGGCTTGGACTCATAAGTGGCAAGTAATATTCATGCCACACAACCGTGAGGCGATGACCATCTTCAATAAGAGACGATCCATCCATCAACCCTTGACATTTAATAATATCTCTATCACCAAATCCCCCACTGTCAATATCCTAAGGGTTACCATTGATCAGAAACTGAACTAACACTGCCAAATAAATGCTGTGGCTACACAAGCAGGTCAGAAACTAGGAATATTGCAGTGAGTAACTCACCGCCTGACTCCCAAAAACCTGTCCACCAACTACAAAACACAAGTCAGGAATGTGATGGAATATTCCCCACTTGCCTGGATGGGTGCAGCTCCAATAACACTCGAGAAGCTTGACACCATCCAGGACAGATCAGCCCATTTGATTGACACCACATCCACAAGTATCCAATCCCTCCATCGCCAATGCTCAGTAGCAGCATCATTGCCAAGATGCACTGCAGAAATTCACCTCCTTAGCATCTTCCAAACCCACGACCACTTCCATCTCGAAGGAAGAGAGCAGCAGATACATGCAAACACCACCACCTGCAAGTTCCACTCCAAGTCACTCAACATCCTGAGTTGGAAATATATCACCGTTCCTGCACTGTCACTGGGCCACAATCCTAGAATTCCCTCCCTAATGTCATGGTGGGTCTATCTACAGCACTGGACTGCCTCTTGAGAAAGGGAATTCCAAAGATTTTCAACACTCTGAATGAAAAAAAATGTTTCTTCCTCTCCATTTTAAATGGGCACCCCCTTACTGTTAGATAAATGTGCTTCTTTTTCATTCTTTCTGACATAATGGGCAAATTCACACTTTGTCATATTGTACTCCATTTGTCAGATCATGGCCCAATTACTTAATCTATCTATGTCTCTTTGATGGTTCCTTATGTCCTCTTCACAACTAATTTTCCTACCTATCTTTGTGAGTGCAGTATGGTGGCTTAGTGGTTAGCACTGCTGCAGTTTCCTCCCACAGTCCAAAGATGTGCAGGTTAGGTGGATTAGCCATGGGAAACAGAGCAAGGGGGTGGATCTGGATGGGACGCTGTTCAGAGGGTTGATATGGACTCGATAGGCTGAATGGCCTGCTTCCACACTGTGGGGACCCTATTCTATTCTATGATTCTAAATTTAGCTGCCATACCTTTAATCTCCTCATCCAACTCATTGATATACATTGTGAAAATCTGAGACTGTAGGATTGACCTCTGTGCCACACCACACTTGGAATTCTGCCAGCCTGAAAACCGTGTTGGCTGTGTTTGGTTATCTTGGACTTATCCAAGCGCCTTATTATAATGTCTTTAATAGTGGCTTCTAGCATTTTTCCGATGACAGATGTTAACTTGTCTATAGTTTCCAGATTTCTGCCTCCCTCACCTTCCCCACCCCTTTTTGCATAAAGAAGTTATGTTAGGTATTTTCCAATCAAAGGAACCTTCCCTGAATTCAATGGCATTTGGAAAATTAAAACCAAAGCATCACCTATTTCATTAGCAACTTTATTTAAGACTCTAGTAGTGCCCCTCAATTTTTGCAGAAATTGTTGCCCATCCAAAGTCCATTATTAATGTTGACCAGATTATCAGCCTGTAAGTGCTTCCAATACTCCCAATAGAAGGTGGTAGGAGTGAAAAAGACTCCTGGTCAGCTATTCTGCAGAAAACAATGTCAAACCACTGCAACATTTTGTCTATAAAAGTGGACCAATCAAATCGAGTCTATGTCCAACCTCTGGAATTGAGGATTGAGGTGGGGGGTCATGCAGAAGACCATCATTAAATAGTCTGTGTCCTTCAGTGGTTCCTTTCTCCTGTTAAAGTCATTATTTCTTTGACAGGATGAATTCTGTACCTACATGCAACTGAAGTATAAGGAGATTGAAGAATCCGACTCACGATCAAAACATATCTCATTTGCCCTTCCTGCGACAATCAGAGAGTTTTCTCATTCAGAGCAGATCCTGTGTATTTGCTACACTTCTGATGATACCTTCATCATGATGCGAGAGGATGGAAATATTTCCTTCTGGTCAGCTGAACTAAAGCTGAAACGAAGCAGGACACTCTTTGTACGTATGTTTTTAATAACAAACCAGAACAAGTAGATTTTCCCAATTGTGAAGCTCATGCCAATAGATTTCCAATAAAATCATTTGGTCAATGTGCCATCAGCAGAATTGTAAACGTATTCACATGATTGCTAGGACATACGGCATTTCGATCTGGTTTTGGTTCAGTTATATCCTATATTGCCTCAACTGTGTCATGGAGGTAATGCACTGTAATGGTTGTACAAATCAACTTATACCTGCAGTTTACATTTTGGGTACTTTTCAAATATCATTATGTGTTTTTCAGCACATATTCTAGCATATCTCAACTGTATAGAACTAAATATGATGATGGGATTATTTTGTTGCTCAGAATTAATCCCGGTTTGATTCACACTCCCCTGGAGTAAAAAAAAATTAGATTGTTTAAGGGTTTGAAAGGTTTAATTTCAAGGAGTGCTTTAAGGACCACTCTCTGTCTTCAAGGTGGGAAAAGCATTTACTAAACAAAGAGAAGGAAATTGAGCCTTATTAGAGCCTTATTACAGTGGGAATAGTCCAGAAGAAATGGTTAAGATGTGGATTTCATGTCTTAAAGCTGCAGACAGCAGCATTCATTCAGGAAAATGAAATGGGAATAATTTATTAAGGGCACAATCCATGGGATTCATCCAGTGAACAGCGAAAAATACAGGAATCCTCTATCTTTACTATAATAAGGCAGGAATCCTGCATTTTGGTTGTTAAATCATTGTATTTCCACAAAGAAAAGAAGATTCCACATCCCTAAATGGAACAAGTTGAGGAAGGACTTTCAGAGATGGCCAAAATGGACATCCCTTCTGAAATTTCCTCTCTAGTTCTCAGGCATGGCTACTGTACCTAAACCTAATGGGTTTATTCAAATTTGTGTAGACTGTACAGATCAACAAGATGGTGGTGAGAGAAATTCAACATATGCTTACAGCTGATGAGAATTTAGCTAAGTTATCCAATAGCAAAGTTTTCATGAAACTCGAGACAAACAGTGGATTCTGGCAGGTGCCATTGAACAAGCCATTGAGATTATGTACCCATTTGTGACTCCATTTGAGCAATTTAGGATCATCATAATTTTTAATTTTTCAACAGACAAAATCCAATATTTTAAAAGGTTCTTCACTTAGTCACATGCCACATGAATGACATATTAATTCAGGGGGAAACAGCTGAGCAATATGATCAGAGTGCATGTTGCCCTAACGCACATACAAGTGGCAGGGCTCACTCTTATCAACATGTGGGAATTCTCCATAGAATCTACTTGCTTTTTGGGAGACATTGTCAACAATGATGTTATAATGACAGACCTGCAGAAGACTAAAGCCTTGAAGAAATTTCCTATTTCAAAGTCAGTTCATGACCTCAACAGATTTTTTAAGGATAGTAAACCAGTTGATGAAATGCTAGAGATAGTAGGAACTGCAGATGCTGGAGAATCCGAGACAACAAGGTGCAGGGCTGGATGAACACAGCAGGCCAAGCAGCATCATAGGAGCAGAGA